ACGGGAAATAAATTTGGAGGGATCAAGATGATATAAAACGTATTTTCAAAAGGATATAATGTCTTTACTTACACAACCACACGATCAAATACATTCGAGAGAGAAGGCTGTAACTTAATTTTATGTCGATTTGAATCAGTAATTTAAAAGCTACGTACGACTTGGATTACGGCAAGTGACGCACAACAAGCTCTTGCATTTTCCAAATCCTTACCTTTTCCAGCGGCGAAATTCTCATATGTTGAGACAATTGGCAGTGAAAAGAAGAGTCTAATGTTAAGTTCTGTGTTGGTTTGTGTATAAGTTTGTTCAGTAAAAGATTGTGTATAGACAGCTCAAATTTTAGCAGGGACACTTGCAGTGAATAAATCATGTAACCAAATCAGAGATCAAAACCTTAATGCTAACACCCGGCTCCGTTTGCCTATCTAGTAAACACATAACATAAACATATCCATTAGATTGAATCATATATTATATGATTTGGTTGAGTCATAATTTCAACACAATTTTATGGCTTCAACTAAATCTATTTTGGACGCAACCGTATGCCTTCAACTACAGATAAAATGTCAAAAATGTATTGTTGGATATTTTACTTTAAATATGTATTGTTGGTCCTTTTTATATAAAAAATGAATTGCTGGTATTTTTATATATTCATAATATTTTGTTTGGGGGCACTATTTTCCATAGCTGGGACCCTAGCAGGTGCTGCTACCCCGGGTCAGGGTGGAGCTGTGAACAACAGAAGTTAAGAGGTGGTTCCACTCTCCTCAAAATTTCCAATCTCCAGATCAGAGGGCTTGCTGACGGATGTAGTTTATCGTCATACCCAGGACTGAATATTATATGAGGGTCAGCCGAAAGGTTCATAGGTTGACTATGAAGGGTTGATGGTAGAGCTGTGAAATCTTGCATGCATTAATTTCAATGCTTCTCATTAATAACTGCATTGTTTCTTTCCCGGTAAACTGACATCTGACTTTTCAAAGAAGACTTCAAAAGCAACTAGTTTTCTCTTGAAGATGGATAAAATTTGTCATCGTGGTTTTATCAAGTACCTGCAGAAAAAAAGGTTTTAGACTCCCAGGGACATTCACGATGACATGGTTGCTACATCAGGGGATGGTGCTCCAACAGTTCAAAAGTGGGCAGCTGAATCTAGGAGAGGAAGGGAGAGTCTTGATGACTCATGTTCTGAACGTCCTGCAAGTGATACTACTGTAGAAAACATTGATCGTGATGGATAACAGGCGATTGATTATAAATCAAACAGCCAATCCTATTAGCACATTCCGTGAGAGAGTTGATAATATTCTGCACAATGAACTTGGCATGACGAAGATTTCTACTCGGTGAATGCCACATTGTTTTAAGACAGATTCATCTGGCTTCATCGAATGTTTCCAAACCTAGAATGGATGTTGAGTTCATCCCTTTGAGTCAGAGACAAAGAGACGATGCACGCAATGGGAACACCCATCCTCCATAGATTACAATGGTCGTTTCATCTGCAGGGAAAGTAATAGCGTCAGTTTTGGGGGATTATGTTTACTGACTAACTTTAAAAGGGCCAAACCATCAATAGAGAGTACTACACCAACAGTTACAAAAGACTATCAAGACCAAACACCAAGGGAAACTAATGAAAGGAGTCTTATTTCCTTCGCCATTGAAATCATTGGTTTCAACGGCTGCTATATATAACTGCTGCTTTGATCTGCTTGACCACCCTCCCTATTCTCCTGTCCGAAATAACAATGGGTAGGCTGGAGAAAAAAAATAATTCTGGGTGCAAGTGTAGTGACTGGATGTCTATAACTTATATATATTATATAATTATTATTTTAATGCAATTCGTCCGCGTTGATATTAAGTTTCCCATGTTTTTCTTAGTAGCTATGACATAAGTAACATTATTTTAACAGTTAATCTTTTTAATCAAGGTCGCACATCAGGGCTCCTCTTTTGCCATTATTGATAAATACGTGCAGTTTATATTGAAAAAGTATTTTTTAACTCAAACGTTTTAAAATGATAATGAAAACTGATATTAAGACTAAATGTAGAAATAACAGTATCCGATATGCTCATATTTGGTGACGTACAGCAGGAATTTCGACCAGGAATTATAACTTTTTTCAATTATTTTTTCATATCACTTTAGATTAAGCAATCCAAGTAACAAATTAAAAAAAGGAATAATTAAAAAAAAAAAGTTAAGTAAAGGTGCCCAATTTGTTGTGTGGATTCATTGCAAATTGATCCTCACTCCACGGAAGTCAAAATAAATATTCTAATCCGACCTGATTTCTTAAACAAGAAAAAAAGATTAAATTCGTAATCGGGAGCGCTTAATCGATAATAATATACGAAAAAAAAATGTTCACTTTAGAAATTTCAATTTTTTTAATTTTATATTTTTACATGTTAAGAAATCACGACATGATTTGATTTGATTTGAATATTTTAACGGCTTGTCAACCTTTTTCCTGTTATTTAAAGCCAGAAAATATTTTTAGATTATAACGATTCTTTTGGAGATAATAAGGATTAAATGATACAACTCCTACTAATTAACCCATAGCTTGAGGGAAAAGGGGTCTTCATATCTTTCGCAAGGGGATTTGCACATAAGTGAATATAACAAACTCGACTGGAATTCGAACTCGGTTCTCCGATGGGCAATTCCGAAGCATTACACCACTCGCACATCTGTGAATATCAGCAGCTGATATTCGCAAGTAGTCACCCATCTAGGTATTAACCAGGCTAATTTCGGCGATCGTATGAGAACCGATGTTTCCCCGTGATATGGTCGTAAGCCAAGACTTTGTATGAGCATATTTACATTCACTCCTGTAGGGGGATCAATTTACAATTAATATTTACATAACATAGAAAACTGAAACCCCCAAAACCCGTTTACAAAATTGAATTAAAAAAAAATATTGCGCAAACATGAACCTTTCCTGACTGCAAAAAACACTGATTATCAAAAGAACATTTTTTCCGCATGTCACCGCTTTTATCTTAACTTCTTCCACTCTTTGGCAATGTTTATTGTCTTAAAAAGCGATGATTAGAATTGTAAAATTGTATGAAAATGAATTTATACCTTTTCTTTGTTCTTGAGAATTGACAACAAAAGTAATAAACACTATTTTTTTCTTTTTAATCGATTCATCCCAAGCAAGGCGGGAAGCCACTAGTACGCAAGGGGTTACAGAAGATTTGGAGCGAGAGCAGATAGGAGTGATAGAGGAAAGGATGAGGAGAAGGATAGTGGATAGATCAAGGCAACTGGAGATGTCGATTGACATTACATTTGAATAGTTGGATATTATAGCTGTCAGGGAAACAGGAATAGGGAAGGGAGTTCCACAGGCGAGAGGTGCGAGATATGAAGCTACCGGAGTAGAAGAGACGGCTACATTTAACAGTTTCAACAGTGAAAGGGTGAGAGCGGGATGCCAGCCTCGTAGGACGCTTGAATTCATGGAGTCTGGGAACCAGCGCAAGCAGCTCATCGGAGCAATTTCCATGAAAGTATTTGTAAAAAAGACAGAGAGAGGCGACGGCGCGTCTGTGAGAGAGCGACTGCAGACGAGATGCCAGATCAGGGTCAGTTACATTGCATATCCGTCTCTGGATCTTATCAAGAACCCCGAGGCAAACAGAAAGGGCTCCAGACCATATATGGCATCAATACTCCATGCAAGGACGAATGGTTGATTTGTAGATTTGAAGGATCGATTCCGGGGAGAAAAATTTCCTGGCGCGGCACAGGGAGCCAACTTTCCTTGCGGTGGACGAAGCAATTGACTCGATGTATTTGTTCCATCTCAGGTCAGTAGTCAACGTGAGACCGAGCAGCCACAGGTTTATTAGAATGGTTGACAAAACATCGGCTAATTACCAATTCATTCGAAATTTATAAAATGGTAAATAATAAAGATTTATTTATAGGTGTTAAATTCGATATTTTAGTAAATGTTTATAAATTTCTGAATAAAAATTGTTTTCACATTTATTTCTTTATAATGAAAATATAAATCTATATGATAAATATTGCATTGCATTTACTAGTCAGTTTAATAATTGTATTAGTTTTTAGAATGTTGTAAGTATAAAATTATTCTTGTAAATAAACAATCTAATAAATAAATAATGTTTAATACTTTTATTGTAAATTTTCAAGAACAAAAAATGTATAATTTCACTTTCTTCATACGTCTAAGTTTTATTACAATTCTAATCATCGCTTTTTAAAACAATAAACATTACCAAGGAGTAAAGTTAGTTAAAATAATAGCGGTGTCATAGAAAAAAATTCCCATTTTGACACTCCGTGTTTTTGCGGGCACCAAGATTTGCTAAATGTTGATATTAGTGATCTGGAGTGTTTATATGAAGTTATATGAAAAAGAATTTTATGGAAAAAAAAAGATTATTCTAGTCGAATTCTAAGGCGAATTCTGAACGATTTTTGATAGCGATCTCCACAACATGGCAGCATTTTCTTGAGAATCCCGAAAATAATCATGGAATTACAAAAAAGAATTTGCATTCAAATGTTGACGTCAATAAAATTCTATCCTTTTTTCGAAAATGAAAATTACCTTTCCAATTTTATCGTATTTGTTTTGCTTGAACACAATCCAACATCATTTTAAAAACACAGGACATGTGAGAAGAACGTGTAACGACGTCCTTGCTACAAAACAGTTTAAAGCATCGACCACTAGGTTAACAAGTCGCTGATGCTACTAATTCCTGTAAATCATAGAATCAACCGAGATTTATATGGATTGAAGAAGAAAAAGAATGGGAACATTGGCCTTGTTTAACTAATACCATTTCTCATCGAGATTCATTAAATTAAACTATTTAAATTATCTTGCAAGCGTGAACACACACAAATGATGTCTGATGAGTCCTTGCTTTTTGATGTTCGTCAAATCAAATGTTAATGCAGCTATCTCATATATGTACATATGTATCTATCTCAGACTGTCGATATCTATCTTAGACTGTTCATGTCTATCTATATAAGACAGTTCACATCTATCTATCTCTCTATCTATATAAGACAGTTCATATCTATCTATCTATCTATCTATATTAGACAGTTCATATCTATCTATCTATCTAAAACTGTTCATATCTGTCTTAGGTAGATATGAATAGTCTGATATAGATAAATAGATAGACATAAAAAGTCTGAGATCAATAGATGTGAACAGTCAATCTATCTATCTATCTATCTATCTATCCGCAGAAGCAAAACTAACCAAAAATCAGTTTTGTAGATGATAGCTACAAGTAGAAAATCATTTCTTCTTTAAGGGATAATGATACACCACGTAACAGAAAAACGAAGTGGAAATTTCTCTTATATTGACAATATAAACACTTAGAATCATTAAATGCTTTAATTAAAAGTTTACTTCTGTGTGATGTGCCTTTTTAGGACGTGAATAATCATGGCCCTCCACAATTTCCTGTCCTTTGTAGCTCTTAGTAAGGTTTGTTTTTTCTCTATCTCTCTCAGTCCCGGTTCTGCCAATCATTTACACAAGCACATTAGGTGGGTTATTCGCTGTTTTCCCTGTCTCTCTTGCCTTCAGTATGCCTTGTCAGTGTTATATTTTCTAAGTCCCCCTTCCTCATTATGTACCCGAGAAGTTTCTTTTTCGCATTCGAAGAATAAGTGTCCAAAACTGAGTAATTGCATTTATTGATATCTCTCACACACGCAAAATACAAAAAAAAAAAAAAAAAAACGTAAGTAAAATACACCGGTAGTCAAAGAAATATGTTGTTTCCAATTTCTTGTTGGAAGAGAGGTAATGGTATCGATTTACGACAAGGTAATCAAACATTTCTGATATTTAGTGGGGAAGAGAGAAAGAGAGAGTTTAAACTGAGAGAAAGAAAGAGAGAGTATTGAAACACAAAGAACCTATGAAAATAGCAGTAATAATGCAATTTAGTGATGGTCGTGCCTATTATGATTGGAATACTAGGAAAGTGATGGAGACAAAAAAAAAACAACAACAACAAAAAAAAAATGCAAATAAAACGGACGATAGGATTTGGTAATGATCGTGCCTATATTGATTGGAATACTGAGAAAGTACCGGAGACTAAAAAAAAACACCTTATCCACTGTGGCATGTGTCCTTGAGGACAGGACTCAAAGAGTGTGAGTTCAATACCCGGTTAAGGCAGTGAAGAACTTGGAGAGAGGAATTAACAGGAGATAACTGATAACTAACATCCATTAAAAAACATGGTACATGGATCTAGAACAGTCTACCGCAGTGACAGAAATAAAGAGTTCGGTTCGAGATTCCAACCACCTGAAGAAGGCCGAGCGTACAACGAAACGTTGTAATAAATATGGCAACAAAGATGCAAACAAAAGTCTGAATAATGTAAATAGTGTACTAAAAAACAATAATAAATAAGAACAATGGGATTTGGTGATAGTCGTGCCTATAATGATTGGAATACTGGGAAAATGACAGACTAAAAAAAAAACAACACGAACGACGGAATTTGGTGATGGTCGTACCTATAATGATTGAAATACTGGGTAAGTGCTGGAGACTTAAGAAAACATACATTCTTCTGCGAATGCCAAGAGAAAGAATAAATATAAGATGATAAAATCAAGTGAAGTCATAAAAAGCATAATGAGATTAAAACAATGAATGATCCGAGTAAAATTGAAACACAAAAGATGAGTGAGTACTGGGGAGTTGGAAAAACTTCCTGTTCCCAGTATTGGCAACTAGAGATCGTTAGCGTGAAGTAGAATGAATGGGATGAAAAAGAAAAATGAAAATAGTGTCATATTTTGCCACTAGGGATTCATAGTGACTTCGTTCCACACGCGTCTGTATGTAATTCACCTGGAAGTATAATCTATACACTGACGAAGAGATAAAGTACGAAAACAATCATTCTCTGATAAATAAAAGATGAATGTAAATATTGGCTTAGCCATAAATACATTGCACAAAAAGAGTCTTAAATCTGGACATCTTTCCTTGCAACAGAACAAGAACCTCGCTTAAAAACATCTCCGTGAAGAAGAACGCGTAGGCTTTTCTACCCCTACCGCTTACTCTTGTTAGTATCGACCTACCTTAGCCTTTTGCCACGAAATAAAGAACGTATCTTTCGGCTGGCAGATAGGCATCTTTTTACTTCTGTTTCTTTCTCTTTTATTTTCCGTTCTTGTTTTTAATGCCCGCTCCTAAATTCATTCTAAATGGAAGATAAAACCACTTCCCAATTTAACGTCTTTGTTACGAACAACGTATAAAGGGGGAGACGGAGGAGTAGAAGAACAAAACGAAAACGAGGAACGGAAAGCTAAAATCAAGTGAAGCCATTAAAGAAAGGGGGAAAAATACATAAAAGAGAATGAAAAGGCTAAGTAAGTGATGGTAAAATGGCGGGAAGAACCTGAGTAATAAGAGGAAGAAAAAGTAGAAGCAAATGAAAGTAGTTTTTCTTCCCCATTGCTTAGTGTCTTTTTAACAAACGGCACTTAGACAATATACGTTACTTCGCATTATTTACTCTCTTCTTCGTCGTTTCCTCGTCTCAGAGAATGGCCCCTGGCGAGCCAGCATGCTCTCTCACTTTCAAGAATCGATATAGCGAAGCCAGTAAGATCATGTTCCTCACGTCGAAAAATCTTTTCGACTCACTTGACTCCAGGAGACCCGGAGCAAAAACTTTTTCATTTTTTTTTTCTTTTGTGCGTACACTGTATTATTTAGTAATTTTTTTCCCTTCTTACTTTCTTCAAAATAACTGGCTAATGAAGATGAAGGTTTAAACTGTCCTCCCAACCAATTCTTCTTATTTTCCATACCAGCCTCAAACCATTCAACAACAAGACTGAACCAATCTCATCTCCCCTCCCAACGCGAACCTGAACTTTTTATTTGATACCTATTTTGAACAATGCTGGGCAACGCAACTATCTAGCTCAATCTTAGTTGTCCTTTATTTTTTATTTGTTTATGTGGCTTTTGGAGGCACGCATTTTGCCTCGGCCCGATTCTCTGATTATATAAGATCACGAAAATATCGACCCAACTCCGATATCTCTGACTAAAATGAAAGAAGGGGATAGATTAAAAAATGTTTAAGAATAATGATAATATACCTCTTTCTTCCATTTCTAACTCACCTTCCTCGGGCTCAAACCTCCCTTCTTTTTTCACTTCCTGTTTCTCTCCGTTTCCAGACTTACTTTCTATCTCCATTTCTTTTATAGGCCGCCTCTTAACCGTAACAAAACAATGTTAGATGTCCAAGAGAAAGCTTCTCTTGGTAGAATTCCAAATAGACAATGACTTTTGAGTAAGTATCTACTCCACAAAAATCCCAACACCCAACTATCACCAAACACCCACGCCATTTTGTTAAAGAAGAGCAAGGCGAATATTCAGTTGTAAAACTATACGCATTGTCATCCCTCATCTATTCAATTCACAACGATGACGAGTGGTTGCAATTTAGATTTTTATTGGGGATGAGAGTAATTTTCTAGGAATGAGGAAGTAAAGGTGGAAAGCTAAGGAAAAAGCTATATTTTCTTTTCTTTTTTTCCTTTGAGTAAATGAGAATAGGGGAATAACTATATGATCTTGATAGTATTAATAAAGCCTTACTTTAGCATTAAGTTTAAACAGAGCTAAGAATGAGAAAAAAACGCTTTCGGAAAGAAAGGATGACTTTGCATAAACCTAATACAAAATTCAATATTTCAATTAAAATATTTGCTCAATTACTTTGCCGTTTTTTTTCTCTACATCAAGAGACCGGATCTGGAAGAAAGGGTGTTGCAGGCAATTTACCTCAAATATCATGAATTTAGCGAAATACGTGGGAAGGATTTGAAATGTGTTTTAACATGTCAGTTGAAGCGGGAGAATGCAATGAAAATACAATAATGGCCCATGAACTGAGTTTTGAGATGGATGAAATATCTGTGGCGATTTCATCGAATAAATTTCTTATTTATGTTTGGTCCAGGATCGATGAAATTAGAAGAAAATATAAGGAATCACGAAATCAAATCACAGATTGTTGATTATCTTCTTTTTCATGTGCCTTGTCACTTCGAGACGATGGCGACCACGGATCTCCACAATTTCCTGCTCTTTGTAACTTAATAAATTTGGTCTTTTTGTTATATTCTCCTAAACCCTGCTCTGATATCCATTTACACAAGCTTGCTAGGTAGGTTATGCGTTGTTTTTGTCTGTCCCTTTTGCCTTTTTGTCCTGTGAGTATCGAATTTTCCAAGCTCTCTATTCTTATTATGTGCCCCAGAAATTTCAACTTCCTCGTTTTGATGTTAAGTATAAGTGCTCCTTTTGCGTCCGTTTTCCTTAAAACTTCCTCGTTGCTCACATGTTCGGTCCATCGTATTCTTAGCATCCTTCTGTAGATGCACATTTCTGATGCTTCAAACTCTTCTTCATCTATGAGGAGGTTGTCCAGCGTTCACTGCCATATAGGAGGACTGATATTACATAACAGTTTACTACTCTTTTCTTTGTTTCTAATGAAATTTTCTTGTTTCTTAATACTTTGCTAAGCTTTTGGAAGTCATAGTTCGCTCTCTCAATACACCTTTGGATTTCGGTGTCTCATTTTCCATCCTCTGTTTAGACATTTCCCAGCGTTTATTCTAACATCTTTGCCAAATAGCTCTAGCTTCATTAGCAGTTCAAACAGATCTTTAGCAATTCTTAATCCTGTCAGATAAACATATAAATGTCTAAGAATAACCTGCAAATCAGTGGACATGACATGCCATAAAAGTCATATCAGAAGGTTCCATGGTTTCTAGGATATCCTGACTGACTTCATAACTGATTCCAGTTGAATGAGAGAACTGATGATATGTTTGGTGACAGTCATTATGAATGAGTTTATACCCCCCCCCCAATTTTCTAGTGACTGGTCACTCATAATCTTGAACCAATGGTTGACTGGCCTTGAAATATGTGTGCCATTCAAAAACTTGTAATTAACTTTATGTTTGCCAAAAGTCTGATGAATCATTGTTTAAATTCATCAACCATCATTAAAGATCGCAGAGCCATTTCAGTATAACCTTACAAAACTTGCATAATAAATTAACACAAGTAAATAGCAGAATGTCAGTCTGCAGGATGACACTGTATGTTGGATATCAATAACTGCAAGCATAGCAGTGTTATACTACTTTAATCAAGATCTCTTTCTGATCCACAAATACCTTTCACTAGATATGTCAACCAGATGTGAACGCTAAGAAAACAAAACCCAAAATTTAAAAAAAAAAAGTTGTCTTCTGCACAGGGACTCTGAGCATCATATCCCTGCAAAAATCAAAAATACAATAGCCAATCACAAATGTCACCCCATCCAAAAAAGAGATGAGCTTGGTTTTTTTTGTACCTGTTAAACCACATATAAAAATACTTGACATTGCATGGTTGCCTGCCATCCACACATCTCACAGACAGATGGATCAACTCCACCAATGGCACCCCACTTGTGCTATTCCTCTCCAAGCCTCTCTCCTAACATTAACTGTGACCTTGGTCAACCAACCCAACAAATCGGTCAACTCCTAGCTTTGTAGACAACATCCATACACCTAATCACTTTCATTATAAATGGCAACTAAGAAACTATATAAACAATTTTGCTACCTTTTCACACAATTATGTATATATTCTGAAAATGGATCAATACATGATGCTGAAATTTTAATCCATGTCTGTCTTTTCTTTTGCAACCATACACTCATCAAAACAGCAAGTACAGTCCAAGAACTTTCTGATACCACCATTAATTATAGTCTGGTTTCTGATTTTTATTAGAATCACAAATTTGTATAGAATAAGTGTGAGTTAAGAGGGAAATGTAAGCAATGAAAGGATGCCATGACATATACCTCAAGATGTCAATATTTTTGGAGGGTAAACAAGCCTTATCCTGAGGGTAGATAATATGGCTGATATATTAGTATGCTAAAAATTTAAACAAAAAACTGATATTCCATTGATAAAATGCAGGTCAACAGTCAATTAAAATTAAATTGTTTTTTCTTATTTTTTAAAATCTATGTCATTTCAGGATACAAGAGACCAAGTGTTTCAACAGCTTCTTTTTCTTCATTATATGTGAATTTTTATGACTTTCTCGTAAAAGATAGTTAATAGTCTATCTATTACCCTCTTTACAGCTTTGAAGTCATTCTTATCCTAGACAGGCTACCAATTATGGCTAGAGAGCCAAATCTAGACTACTGTTTAATCTATATATGCAATGAGAAGAGATGGATGGATATCTTTACAAGGGAATTTGGGGAAAAGTGCATTTTGGAGAAATATATTGAAGAAGGTTTCACTGGAAGAAATTCAAAACACAACTGTTACCACCCACCAAAACAATTCTTAGAATAATACAATAGACTACCAACAATGCACCATTGATTGTATACATAAATAATCAAGCAAAACCCATGCACATGCCTAATGATTGAATTTAGCATGAAACAGACTGTCACCACTAGGTGTTGACTGCAATGTCCACTTTTAAATTTACACACACACATATACATACATATATATATATATATATATATATAGAGAGAGAGAGAGAGAGAAAAGACTGAGTATAAGCATGATTGAGGAAAATACATAAAATGAATGGGATTCAAAAAGATAAAAGATGGTGATTGGTGTTGCCTTTAAATTTTTGAAGATTGCAGTTATCAGGGAAGCAAGAAATCTGAAGGAAGTTCCACAGGTAGGAAGTGCAAGAAAAGAAACTGTTAGAGTAGAAATGGTAGTTGCATTTAGCTATTTCAACAGTAAATCAGTGGGGCCTAGATGCCAATCTAGTAGCACGCTTAAATTCATGTAGTTTGGACACCAGGGTAAAAAGCTTGTCAGAGCAGTTACCATGAAAATATTTGTAGAAAAGACAGAAGCAAGCCATGCAACATTAGTGAGAAAGGTACTGAAATCAAGATGCCAAGTCAGGATCAATTACATTACATCTCTCTCTTTCTCTCTCCCTCTCTCTCTATATATATAATTGGATATTAGCTGTACATTATATATTTCATTAATTTTACTGATACTCAAAGAAAAATTATATTATTCTAAATATTGGTTAACAATCAAAATTGCTTTAAATAAAGTCTCATTATTTGTTGGTAGGCTTTTCAAAGTAGGTTTTGTCTGCATTGAGTGATCTGCTCCCAATATTATGATTGATGATACTGTTAAAATTTTCAGTGTTATTAAAGAGGTTCTGATTTTAGGATTTCCCAGTGATGTAAATAATAAATATTTCTTATAACTTATGTTGAACAAAGCTCAATATCTTCCCATTGAGTAATAAAGATCAAATAATCTGGAACGTGATCTAGCTGTAGGAAATATTTTAGTTAAACCCCTAATTATAAAATTGCCTTCATTTAAATTGAACTAGCTGCAAAAAGAAATGTATCTCAAGTCTAAGCATTGGCTGATATTTAAAGTTACATGGAACATCTTAAACTGGGTCAGTTACTACTAAATCTGAAGGTTTTTATTTATAATGATTAATCACTTCTTTAAATACATGTTATATAAAAGAGGTGCTGAAA